CTATACTATTACCCCAACAGACCTGAGAGCATTCTGAAACAACCTCAACTTCCTGGGAAGCCTAGAGTGCAAGCAGCCGTTTATAGGCGCTAAAACACTAATATACTAACACGAACTGATCAGTTCTGTTCACAGAAAACACTGACCTACAGTAGGACACACATCGAGCATTTTTCTGCACACACATACAGCCTCCTAGCTGTGCCAAAATGGCCACGTAAATCTTCTTTACACAATAACTACAATATTCTTAACTCCGAGCAGTGAGGACAAGCTTGATCTATCTCACAGCGTTAAATAAACCTCGAAGTTCTTCTACAGGGCTTCTTATATATACCGTGTTTACAAAACCCTTCTACTCGAGAGGATCGATCTACAATGTAAATTTAATAGCAATCTAAAAAAGAATAATTAAAATAATAAATAAGAACAAGACTGAAGCTCTAACTCAAGCACTAGAGTGATCAGGTTTTTGGGCCGCTACACTTCACCACTGAAATAGAAAAAAAAAGAAGAAAAAGGAGAAGGTAATCGAAACTGAGTGGGAAAACTCCTACGGAGAACCAGATTATTCTTTCAGTTGGAGATTTTATGTCCCTACCTCTGTTATCAGCTGTGGCTACACCACAAACCCTTTCATGTCGAAGCCAGCGATCCGTTTACGTTATCTGTGCTAAAAAAAAATTAAAAAAATTAAATCGTCAATATTTGCGGAGACGTGTCAAGAAAGAAATCCATTTTTGAAGATCCAGACAGCTTGATATGGCTCTGCCTAGCGTGGGAGCGAACCTGTGAAAATATGAACGAAATACAAAATAAGCCGCTGGATAGGATTACGAATAAAATAGAAATAGAACAGAGCATAAAAAAGATTACAAGAACAATATTGGAGGAAAAGAATATCTCGTTATAAAAATATTGTTGTGAAAGAAAACATTCTCCCTATGCTGAAGGATTTAAGGGGCATTGTTATTTCTACAGAGAGAGAGAGAGAGAGAGAGAGAGAGAGAGAGAGAGAGAGAGAGAGAGAGAGAGAGTGTGTGTGGTTATCGTGTGTGTGTTTTGGTATTGAAAAGAGAGTATTTTTGCATATTAGTTAATAATTATCTCTTTCTTATAAACCATGAAGACGTGGGTTGTTTTTTTGTTTTTTTAATTACAGCTTTGTGTTTTCGATATATACGTCTATTTTACGTTTCATTAATTCTCTGGAGAGGTTTTTGAGAGGTCCGAAAACGACCGATGGAAATGTAGAAAGGCCGATAAGTGCTTACAGTGATTTGCCCCCACAACGGCTCGTACACAGAGGGCGTATTAGAAGTCCACAGAGTACCTCTCTCTCTCTCTCTCTCCTTGTGATTATCAGACTAGCCCCCCCCCCCCCCCGGGCAGTGCAACTGATAGAAGTGTCTTTAGGCCATTCCCCAAAGGGGGGATATCAACATGCTCTTGTGCACAGTAGAATTGTAAATGGGCTGATTTATCAATGTCATGCTCATACTGTGCCGGAACAGCATATGGGGAACTGCTGCTTTTTCTTTCCTCATCCTTACTATTGTCATTTTACATCTACTTCTTTTGTATGTTTGTCACTCTCTCGTGAACTGCTATTTCCTGGGTGCCTTGATAGTTGAAGCAGAGTTAGGGATAGCGTTAGGGTTAGGGTTAGGGTAAGGTCTTTTCTTTATTGTGTTTGTTTGGGCGATGGCTCGTTACGGAAGTCCTTCCAAATATTGCGAGTTTCATCTGGCCCTTGTTTGCAGGGTAAAATTAACTGCTCTCACAAATTATGCATTAAATCCTTACCTGCCAGGCCCGAGACTATATAAGGATTTGAGCAAGATCATACGGCTAGCCTGGTGGTGAACGAGTTAAATAGTCTCCATGGTGACATAAAAACAATTTTGTTGTTGGATTTTTTTGGTAAGTGTTTTACGGCGCTCGCAACTGCATAAGGTCATATGAGCGCACGGGACACACCTAATACTTTTAGTTGGTAGGAAATTTTGAATGTTGCCGGGTGGCGGCCGAAGCCTACTCTTATCGATTTTAGACCACCAAGGGATCTTTAACGTGCGCAACTTGCACACGGGCCCTCGGAGATTTTTCACCTAGGCCACGAGAGCCCCCATAAAAAACAATGATGATAATAAATAACTTCCAGGGCTGGGCTGCAATATATCATAGCTCTGGGTGACATTCAAACATAAATCATTGACTTAAAATTTTTTTTAAAGAATATTTTTACGTGGAATTATACAAACTGCGTAACAGAACACCACGTTTCAGAGAAGAATGCTGTGACTCAGGCTCTAATTAAAATTCCAGCCAGACAAAACAAGCGTGGGACAATGATGAACAGGAAGCGATAAATGGGCAAACGTTCCGGAATCGATTTAGCTTCTAGCTTCAATGCAAACAAGTTAATGGACTCCGGTGAATACGATATGTGGGGGCAACCAAAGATCGTTAATGACAAGATTGTTCACTCCTCTCTTTGAGCCAATTTTAAAAGTGTTCTCAAAATTTGGTGACGCCCTCCCCAAAAAGTGCGGACTTTGCCAACAGGGTTACCCTACTTGTGTGAAAAACAATAAAAGTGAAACTGACAAACTGTGCTGTTCCTGTTCTTCTTCAGGTGAAACGAAAGAGAGCTTCAAAACAAAGACTGCAGCGCCATCTGAACCAATGCGCGGACTTCCGCGGACACTTTTTTGTCTGAGTGAACAATCTTGTTATGTACGATCTTTGTGCTAACAAGTTAATCGACTCCGCTGAATACGATTTGTGGGTACAATCAATCAGACTGACCCAGATGTAAAAAGAATGCTGTTCTGTGCACGCCAAAGATCGTTCACAACAAGATAATTCACTCAGCCAAAAAGTGTCTGCGGAAGTCCGCGGATTGCTTCAGATGGCGCTACAGTCTTTTCTTTGAAACTCTGGCTAAATCAGTACCTGGACATGGATGGCTGGTGCTTCTATAAATAAACTATTGATGGTCAAGATTTTGAGGCTTTCTTCCGTTTCTCCAGAAGAAGAATAG